CCAAAGAGCTCCATTTTGGTCTCATCTGACCACAACACTTTCACCCAGTTGTCCTCTGAATCATTCAGATGTTCATTGGCAAATTTCAGATGGGCATGTATATGTGCTTTCTTGAGCAGGGGGACCTTGCGGGCACTGCAGGATTTCAGTCCTTCACGGCGTAGTGTGTTACCAACTGTTTTCTTGGTGACTATGGTCCCAGCTGCCTTGAGATCATTGACAGGATCCTCCCGTGTAGTTCTGGGCTGATTCCTCACCGTTCTCATGATCATTGCAACTCCACGAGGTGAGATCTTGCATAGAGCCCCAGGCCGAGGGAGATTGACAGTTCTTTTGTGTTTCTTCCATTTTCGAATAATCACACCAAATGTTGTCACCTTCTCACCAAGCTGCTTGGCGATGGTCTTGTAGCCCATTCCAGCCTTGTGTAGGTCTACAATCTTGTCCCTGACATCCTTGGAGAGCTCTTTGGTCTTGGCCATGGTGGAGAGTTTGGAATCTGATTGATTGATTGCTTCTGTGAACAGGTGTGCTCCTAATCTCAGCTCGTTACCTGTATAAAAGACACCTGGGAGCCAGAAATCTTTCTGATTAGAGAGGGGGTCAAATACTTATTTCCCTAATTAAAATGCAAATCAATTTATAACATTTTTGACATGTGTTTTTCTGAATTTTTGTTGTTGTTATTCTGTCTCTCACTGTTCACATAAACCTACCATTAAAATTATAGACTGATCATTTTTTTGTCAGTGGGCAAACGTACAAAATCAGCAGGGGATCAAATACTTTTTTCCCTCACTGTATGTCACCTAACTCTCTTCGGCCGGGGCTACAGACACCAATCCTCTTCGCGCTTGCAGGATAACTGCATGTCTGGTCAGAGCAGCCCTCGTGCCTTTGACCCATGATGTCGAAGAGCGCGGCCCCAAGCGATGAGCATAACTCTTCCATTCACCGAACAACCTCGAACCTAGCTCGAGGCTTGCCTTATATCCTCTATCTCCTGCTGCCCCTGCTCCTCCCTCGGCCGCCCCTCCCCTCGGCCCGTCCGGCCAATTCCAGTTCCCTTGCACCTGTTCGCCCATCCTGTCACGTGCTTAACCTGAGCCGACAGCAATTGAGAGTCCGCACGCCCAGGCTCGTCAGGCACATCAACCACCCAACCTCAGGGAAGTGGAGATGATACATCGTGTCCCACGTTCTGTGTCTATGTTTGATCCATGTGTCATGCAAGCGATACGCACTGATTACAAACGTTCTTAAAGTGCATTCGTATGTTCCTTTAAATAACCTACAGTATAATTTTATATCAAAATCACTCCTTCCAGCTCCCACTCACCTCATTCTATGAACATTTAATCCTGTACTCTTTGGGTCTTTTGGTAAAGTCACGTAGATAGGTTCAAAGAGAATAACAAAAAATTACGACGTTTCGATCGCAACACAAGCGGTCGTCATGAGGAAAAGGGGGTTAGCTTCTAAAGGCAAATTGTTTATAAAGGTTTGAAATGGGCGTAGCCCAAATATCAGCAGCATTGGCGGGGCAGCTAATGTTCATGTAAGTGGTGGGCAGTGACCGTGACGGTGGTGGGTTTTCCACCAATCAAAGGGCTGCCAGGTAATAATTTGCATGTTAATGTAAGATCGGTGAGCGGCCTCCACGGCGAGCGCGCTGAGGTGGCTATGTTAATGTGAGAGATTAGCATGTTAATGGCGGATCGCAGAACCGTAAGCTCAAGGTCGGCGCGCGAAGGTGGTTGTGTGTGAAATTTGACCTGTTAATGTGGAATCGGAGAGCTGAAAATAACAACATCGGAAGGAGGTAGGATGGAAACATCACAGCCAGTTCAGACTTAAACTGGTTGATAACGTTCTTCCAATGACTGCTCAATTTGTACCCATCTTCTCAGCTGAAATTGTGTCTGTGTCTTTAAAAATGGATGGCTTCATTAACGAATCTTTGTTGATAGCCAGTCGGTTTTCAAAGTACCTACGTCTTAGAGAAATCAATTTCGTGTGAGCCCACCGCATTAAAACAGTGATCAGCCACGGCCGAGGTATTGGTCCTACCGTGTTTCAGATCTGCCTTATGTTCACGAACACGGTCCACCTTTAACAATCACTCTACCATAGTAAAATATTATCAGTTGTATTTTATGATTGTGTCCCTTCCAAAATGATTTTCTGTTCAGTGAAGTTGCATTACATATATTTTTTTCTCTCACTTTATCTTCAGGCACACTTTGCAGCCAGCCTTGCTGTAAATAACTTAAGTGTGCACTTCACTGCAAAAAATTTAATTTAATTTCCAGATTTTACAGTTGAAAATTATTTAATGACCTTTTGATCTCCAGTTGTTTAAGCATTTCATTTTCAACTGGCAACTCTGCGGAGATGGCATGTTTTTAAAAATTAAATTTAAACCACTCCCATGACTTTGAAAAATGATCTAGTTGCATGCCTGGAGGGAAATCAAAATACCCCACTCTCTTTTAAGTTGCTGCCCACCATAAATGGGAGACAATATTACGTGCGTGTTTAGTATGCGAGATGTGAGTATATCCCGCATGCCAAAACAATACCCTAATTATATATAGTTTGGCTCAGTGGGTTTACTCACAATGTCCTTTTGGAATATTTGGAGAGCAGAGCATAGTATATGGCATTGGGAGGTACTAGGAGGTGGTGACATTTACACAAGTCTGTATCCTAAGATGAATATGACCCTGGGCTGCACCAAGTTATGTTATTGTACAGCAGTGGACATGGACTTCAGTCCGAGTGAAATCACAATAATAAAAATGTTTTAAGTCCACCATTTAACCAAAGTCCCCAATTAGAGTACAGTATCTAATTCACCATCAACTAACCACTTGTAGTACAGATGAGACAATACTGTACGCACAATATAGGGTTGCCGCGATAACATTTTCACGAATTTATACCAAATTTCACAATGACATCACGATAGCACTTTCCCATAAGTGCTTAATTCTATTCCACATATGTACAGTATTGTACTGCGTTTGTGCTTTGCTCTACTTTTAATGTGAATGAATATTTCTTACAAAAAAAACTACTTAAGTTCAATTAACAATCATAACTTTCATATCGCACATGCTGTCAGTTACACACGACATTATTCAATAGAATGAACTACAGAAATTGAGGTCGTTTGAATGTACTCTATTTAAATTATTTCACACCGTAATAGGCCAACCGTGTTAATCGGTGGTGCCATCAATCACTGCAAAAACATGCTTTCAAAGTGTTAATTTGAGTAATATAAATAATTTGTTTACAACTTTCATTCATGCTTTTGTCATTTCATACATATTGTCAGGATTTTTTTTTAAGAAAAAAAATTGGGATTATCACGATCTCACAAACGGGCAATACAAGTACAGTACATCTTACGATATATCAGCGTCGCCAAATCGCAGCAACTATAATACAATCCATATACAGTCTTTGATTCCCAGTTGAGGTAGTTGACTACAAGTGTATTAAATCGACGACTGCTTCCGTGAACCCAACATTGAAAAGGGTACAACATGCTGAAGGGGTTTTACAGATCCGTTGTGGTGGGATAATGTATTTTCAAATGCATTCTGCCAGGGTGGTAAGCAAAGCTCTGTGCTTTTCAAAATGTGGAGGCTGTACACCTGCAGCGGTGTGTGTGCTGTGAGTGCAGGTGAGAAGGTCACATCATTATATGGATTGCTTGCACAGGATACTCGGAGGGTTGTGAAGACTGTGAAGAATTATGAGGCATAGATCAACTAAATATAACGTTGAATTTCCTTAATACATCTTGGGATGGGCATTAGGGGCTCTGTTTTTGTGAGAAATGTCACACTAAAATGGTCACATGGTGAAATTTCATGATTGTCAAAAAACAAACCACACAATTAAAGCATACCTTCTGCTTGGCATTACAAACTGAACATGTCCAACAACTGTTTTGTTCCTGCCACCTGAAGCCATGATTAAAAAACCCATTTTGTCCAGGCGAAATATAAATTGAATTACAATGGGCTTTTATTTGGGCAATGAGCATATGTTCTAATCAATCATTGACAATTATGTTGTGTCATCAACATCATCAATCATATCCATATCCAGGCATTTGCTGGGTCTATTGATGGATAATACCTCTTCATGCATTTTTCACGGAGGTGTTATTCTCCTTAGTCCTGTATTCTATTTTTCAATGCCTTTGCCTCTTTTTTTCCATCCATACTTGGTATATCCTGCATGACTGGCACAAAGAGAAACCCAGTGCCTACACTTCTCCGTCTTGTACCATCACTTTCAGATTTTCCCATATAACACTGGTAGATACTGCCTCTGTCTGTGTTGTTTGATTCCATCTCACCAGTGTTCATCCATGTCTTTGTGAACCATTTTCCAGGCTCCAGATGAAGGCTGATGGCATGGCCCAGCCAGTTCAGGTGGAATTTCTCCATCCACCTTGTACGTACTATACCACTTCAGTCTTGGCTCTTCTAGCCTTTCAATTTATTCTAAACTAGCTTTACTACCCGGCTTCGCTCGAGACTTGGGGGGGGGGATGCGTGACGTCAGCAGGCACACTGCGTAACGCTGCCGCATGCGGGTGACATCACAGATGTGACGTCACCACTCACTTGCCATGCAAAATATATCCATTATTGCAACCATCCCCCCCCCACCCCAAATGCAAAAGTCTATTTTTATACTTTTTGCATTGTGTACAGTCTGGAAGCTACACACATGCCAAATTTAAAGTTTGTTGCATGTCGGGAAGTATGCTCAACATTTCGAAAAGACACACATATTCACACATTTCCCTTTTATAAAGATGTATGTATTAATGGGAATGATGGATATTGAATAATTATGGTGGTTCTTACGAGATAATGAGAATGATGTATGATGATGATTATGATGTTTTAGTGCAGTTACTGAATACATATTCAGACCAGTGATGAATAAGTCAAATTGGCAACAAGTGAAAACTCTTTTCCATCACTTTTTATTACCTTTCCTTTTTATTCCATGGAAAGTGAACAGCAAACATGCCTCATATGACTCAGCCATGTAACTCTCTACTTTAATAATTCTCAGCATTCAGGCGTGACAGCACAATCCGTTTCCACACCATGGATTCCATCAGCACATTAGAAAAATTATCTTTTCACTCTCTCCATAGAACTCTGTAAAGTGTTTTTTTTTTACATATATATCATCCAAAAGTTTGTCTTCAATAAATGACTGTTCCAGTAAACACCGAAGATGTTGGGGGTCTTTTCTCCATGTCTTTTGGACAGAATGTCTTATATTTAGGAATCATTATTGTAATCTTTTTTTGTAATAACAGGCATCCAGATCAATTGCGATGACTATAAAATTACAATCCAGTAAAACAATGTGAAAAAAGAGAATATTTTACAATCATTGTTGCATTGTCAAAATTACTTTAAAACGATTTCACAGTGACCAATGTTTGAGCCACTTCAGGATATAAAATTAACAGTTTCTGTGACCCAATATCAGCATAGTATATTGTTGACAATTTTAGCTTACATATCCACACCTTTTTATATATATATATTTTACATTTTGTTATAGGTTAACACAACGGCCCTACCTTGGTTCCAGATTCTTATTACGTCATTACGCCTACAGGGTTGTCACCAGGTTGGATTGCTACAGTTTGGTACAACAGCAAATTACCCACAATCCTCCGTTCATTCTTCATAACATCAGCAGACCCACAACCATTCCCTCATACACAATGCATTATCTGCCACTGATTTCCAGTCCTTCAAGGATATTGCATCCTACAGCTGAAAACACCAACCCAATGAAGAAACCTACTGCCCTTTCCCAAGTGCCTCTTAAAATCCTGGCGACCGCCATTCGGTTAGTAATGCTCATGGAATGCATAAATGAGTTACAGTGCAAAAGACTGTTAGCAATATGGTCAATTAAAAAAAGAAGTCAAAATTGTTATACAATAGTATAATACGCTCTACTAAAATCTGTTACATTTGCATCTTATTTCATTGTTTATAAAGAAAATTGAAGAGAAATAAAAATGCAACTAAAATCACAATGTAATTCAACAATGTAATTAAAACAATACAAATCTTCAGTTCAAATGTAGGCACACCTCTTTCCCAAGAAAACAATTATATTAAAAATAAGCATCATGCATTCAAACAAGTTTTCTGTTATCAAAATACTGCAAAACAAGAGAGTAGTGTCTTAGATCTCATTTAGTGTATATGCGTGTGTTTAAGTCTGCAGAAAGTTTTATGTTTTAGAGTTCACATTGTATGTTGTTTTTTAAATAAAAAAACCACCAGGAGGACTAAATCACAGCAGGGCCTCTGGCCTGTCCCACAGTGAGGCATGTCCTGGGAAGCTCGCAAAATCAAAAACCTCGTCGAAACTGACTGTCGTTGTCAGGAACTCCTCGGCGTCTTCCTCCCAAGGGTGGCGAAGAGAGCTGATCGCGAGTGACAGCTCCTCGTCAAATGTAGGAGCGTGAGCCCTCAGGTCGACTTGCTCCAGGGCGTGCTGGCACCACTCGGGCGGCGGGTTGATGTGCCGACCGTGCACCGTCAGGTCGATGTCGGCGTGCGCAAACGACGCCTCGAACTCTCCCGCTGCGTAGGCGTCTCCGCTGTCACCGCTGTCGCCGCTGCCTGAGCCAAATACGTCGTGCAGCACCGACTGCCAGTCGAAGCTGCCCTTTAGCGAGCCAAGGTCCTTTTGCTCCTCCTGTGCCAAAAACTGCCTATTGCTTAGTGCCACCTCTGGCCTATTCTTGCGCTCGCTGTGAAAGTGCTGGAAGGAGGCGGCGGCATCGCCATTGTGGCAGTCCTGGTGGGCGTGCAGATCTGAGGGCGAACGGCTTTCTAACGATGCCTGCGGGAGGCCGTATGGGCCTGGTTTGTTGGCCGAGATGGGGTTGTTGGCCCAGCGCGCCGTGCTTATTCGCCGCCTCCTCAGCAGCCCGTTGGCCACCACATCTGCATACTGGGGGTTGATGCTCCAGAATCCCCCTTTTCCAGGTTCGTCCTTCTGCCGTGGAACCTTGGAGAAGCACTTGTTCAGCGAGAGGTTGTGGCGAATGGAATTCTAAATATGGGTGATAAAAAAACACACACGTCAACAATCAAGTGTGAGGTTTTTTTGTAACACGTAGTGTACGCAGTGAATTCTTGCAACAATTTTAAAGTGCAAAATAAATGCTGAAAAGCGAACGTCCTTCAGATATCACGCTGCTATTGCCAAAGCTGAGCTGTCAAGTGCTGTTAGTGGGTACTTGATTAGGCTCTGTTTGGCAAACGAGAGCATGCATAGGCAGCCCAAAAAATGCCTGGCCACCCTTAGAAATGAAGTGACAAATACTTATCCGAATAAACATTTGCATACATTAAAGCACTGTTTTCATAGGGGTGCAGAGAAACTCTAAAAAATCATTAACGGACCATCAGGACTTTTAAATACCAAAACACCAGAGGGCTTGGTGCTGAATAATAGAAAAATATAATCCTTTCTTAAAATGTCATTTATTTTCCTGAAAGTTGACAGACCTAACGATGTATTCATTGTTATTATTTTACAATGCTGGAATAAAAGCTTATGTTATTGGTTTGAATGAGCCTTAAGCGTACTGGAATGACCCTAAAACATACTGCCGTTAGAGCTGGTAACAGCCATATTAAATGAACAAAGCTTTTATAATAGAAACAAAAGGCAAGGGAAAGTGCTTGTGTTAAGTGTGTCTGTGTCTCAGACTTAGCAGATTAAGACTGGTCTTTCAGCAACATGTCTCGTATTCAAGAGGGCCAACAGACATAGAACTGCATCTTGAAATACCAAAGATGGTAAACATCGCCGCCTGTGTAGAATATGCTTTAAACAATTTACCACTTCTCTTGTTCGTTAAACAACATCCCAAACCTAAGAATTTAAAATAAATCTTATTTGCAAAAGGCCATTCTCTGCTTTTGAAAATTTCTTTCTTGTAGATAATAATGTTCGAACAAAAAAATAATATTTTGTTCAGATAAATATGTTTATGGCTTGCACAGCATTAAGATTTGGGTGGAATGTACATTTAAATGATCAAGGTTAGAGGCATACCTTTTGTACATACATTACATACAATTAGTTTCTTTACAGAAGTGCCAATGTCTTTGCAGGAAGTAGTTTTGGTTAAATTCTGCCACTTCTGAAATTGTGTTCATCCTACTCATCAGTCAAAGTTTAATGTAAACAAATCATTTAGTTGCGTTTTATGGTAAGGTTTCCTCACGTGTAATTAATAAATTGTGCCACCCTCTCCACTTGTTGGGTAAAGTTATATCATATCATCATAAATGTTAAATTGTAGTTGTTGTTCTGCATCTACATCATCCATACAAAAGAAGAAGGTAAAATCACAATTTTCAATCAATTAACAGGGATTCAACGGAGGGAACAAGACAGGGGAAGTGTGGTCCATGGAGATGGAGGAGAAATCAGCTTGTGTGAGGATAAAGTATGCTGATGGCTTGGGGACGCCTTGATCCAGGAGTCGATAGATGATGGTGAAAATGATGACGGTGAATGGGGAGTGGTTCTGGGAAGTATTAATGGTTGCACAGGTGGGGCAGGGGGTAACATCTTTCCCCCATTGAGAGACCAGGGGAGTAAGAGATTCCCCACCTACTACAGAGTGTCTATCCTTAGAGTTGGGTATGGAAAAACTGCATTCATACACTTTGTTTTCTGGGCTTTTGTGTGAAGTCATTTGGGGCCTGGGTGAGATGTTAACACCTAGTATATACATCATACTTCATGAAGCCAGGAGAAAACACAGAAATTCAACTTAGATGTGCATGTAACAAATCACCCCGTATGGCAATTTGATGAATTCTGACAATTTGGGGTCATGATTCTATTAAAAAATCCATTGTTTTTCATTTTCAGCCTGTTTTGTTTTGTTTCCCGTTTGCTCTGTCTGGTTTGCACAATTGTATTCACTCCATGAGCCAAAATGTAACATTTGCATTTCATGTGCACACCTTTTTTATTACACGCACAATTTAATGCATGAATCGTGTGTATTATTTGATTCTAACTGCTGAATGAATGCATATGTAATACTCCCTCAGCATCTGGACATGGGCATTAGATCTCAAATCCAATACTATTAAATTTAGGTTTACATCACGTGAATCCTCTTGTACCATACTGTGCTTATCAATTGTCTTTAGATGTTTTTAGACTAACACAATTTCCAACGAATGTAAGTCAACCAGTGCTGTTGTTGCTGCACGCACGGCTAATGCACTAATACATGCACGCTGGTGTATGGATGCATGTTGAATTTATTTCGCACCGTATGCAGCAAACCGTGATAATCGGAGGCGCTGTTAGATCTTAACACTGTACACTTTCAAAGGTGATAGTCTTACACGATACAAGACTGACAGCCTAGTAACTTTTTTACATTTTTGTGAAGGAGATACGTTATGTGCAGATCTAAGTGATAGCCTTTCCAAACTGTATTGAATTTCTACGTGACTTTACCGAAAGAACCAAGAAGATTTATTGAATTTGTTTATTTCCATTTAACGCGGCATTCAGAACCAAACACATTCTGACAGTTTTCCTGACCTAACCAACATGACTTCTTATGTAAATTTCACACAAAATGTTTCACTATTTCAGATATTACCTATCATCAATCAGTCGTAAGTATGTTAACATTTATTTGTTTTATTGACTGATACATTAAATATTTTTCAAATACGGTTCAAGTTCGTATTTTTACACACAAACGTCCCATTAGCACGGTGTCTGTGAATTAAATAAAGAGCAAAAAAATATCACGAATTGTCTGTCTCTGACAAAGGTAAATGTTTTAAAAAATCAAGGTCGTGCAAATGTAATATTAATAGGTGATTATGGGACAATAAGAAAGTTAACACGTTTAAAGTAAAAAAAAAAGGTAAAAACGGTACAGCGTGCTATATTTAAGAACAAAGTGCATGCGGCCCGTGGGCATAATGTAAATAAAAACACCCCTATTTCCTTTGGGAAATGGTACATTCCACAATTAAAATGTTCTGCACCTGTACAAACGACATTGGCAATAGCTTCCGTAATAAACACAAACATATGACATAACTACAGTGTTTGTTTATGTCTCTGTTCTTTAAAAAAAACGATGTTTTAGGATTCACTGCACATTTTGCTAATTACGTATCGGTATTTACAGTATTCATGCAATATAAATAAACATGAATGCTGTACTTAAAATACTGTTACAATAATAATCAGTCATTGTTATGGGAATGTACAACATGCCCCGTTACGCTTTTTAAAAAATATCCTTTCGAAAGGTTTTCGTTCTAATTTGAAAAGAAACTCGCTGCAATTAACATTTACCGTATTAATAGGGTAACTGTGAGGTTTGTGTTCTAGTATTTCAAGAAAATTGTGGTGGCTGTATTAATAAGTCAGTTTTCAACGTTCTTTTCGCATTCAGAAAAGTTATACCTTGGGCAAATCGCCAGTGCCAAGGCTGAACAATGTATTTGCCTCTGCAGAATAAATAATTTTAAGCTGTAATTTAGCTCCATTGTAAGAACATGGTTCATTCTATTTGCAACGTGAGTAATGTTGGATTGGGCAATAAATGCATGTAGTAACATGCAACAGATTAGCACTGAGGCAGGCCATTGTGAAAATGACAAAAGCCACCATCACCGAAGTCATTCTTTCCAGCCCTTAATTGCTTTCATTATTCAGGTCTAACCTTACAATGCGCTCTGATATCAATTATTTGCGCTGTTCTCGAGAATTTCCAAACACTGATCTCACGTTTGGTTCATTTTACAGCACAATTACGTAAAACATCTCATTCCTGTGATCCTATTCGGTCGAGGATGTGCCCCAGCCTTGAGTATATTTCCGTGGGCTCATTTGGAACTCACACGTACGTACACACACAGAGCCCCGTCGTCTGTGCTGGGCTCACCCCAACCAGCCACAGAGGGGCCCCGTACCCCCCACAACGCCACCCGCATTCCACATCCCTAACAACATCCATTTAATCACTCTCTATAGCCCCCCGCCCCCCACTGCTGGACCCATGCCCAGGCAATAAACAGGGCAATACCTAATCGCTGTTCTCACTGCTGTTCGGCGATAGTGGTTATAAATATAGCAGTGTCTACCGCGCTTTTATGAAATAAATACATTCGTAAGTGGTGTCTTTGATGTGGGAAAACCACTTGCGTATGGCAGGCACAGCAGTATAAATTGCTATTCAAGACAAATTTAATGCGTGTTTATTTGAACATCTGCCCCCAAAACCACAAGGGGGCTTTTTTTTCATATCGCTACTTTTTGGGTTTTTAAATAGTAGTTCGAAAAATTCGCTTTTCTCTTGGACCCAGCCGGCACCGCCGTGCATTGCTTGTGTGCAGTGTTATGAAGTGGAACCAGTGGCAAATAAAACAGCTCCTGTGGAGACTGATAAGGACCCAGCTGGAGGCTGCGTCCCACGAGATAGGATGCGTGGAAGGTGCATTGTAGGTTTTTGTTGTTATTGTTGGTGTGTACAATGCCCTCCGGGTTTTTTTTTACTAATAAAAGAGATGTCATGCATTGCAATCACAATGAGGAGGGCATTTGAACCATTGGCTTCTGGTAATGAGCTTCAGTCAAAACGTTGCAATAAGTCATCAGCATTGAAACAAAAGTCGGCGTGCGTGGTATGTGTCCTGATCTTGTTGGTGGTGCCTTTTCACATCACCTACTGTGTGTTGTAACCCGTTAATTTGAAAAAGTGTGTAGAAAACTAGACAAACAATTAATGTATGTCTGAGTTTAACAGATACTGTATGTCCGTAAAGTATTATATTTAGAGCCGTCAAATTATTTTATGTAATTTATACGTATACTGTATATACGGTATTAACATTGCCACGTTTATTTCCTGCGGTTTTGCGATATCAAATACATAAATTATAATTGGAAATATTTAATTGCCCTATATTGTGAGATTGTTTCGACGCTTGACTATTATTGATAGCACAGCATTTTACTGTTCAGCATGTTAAACCATTCGATTGGCGTTTACGCTATGCGATGTATATCTGTTTATACATGCATAGTATTTTGAAATACAACAGCACTTTACTTTGTACTGTACCATTATGTATAGGGCGGATGAGAATTCGCGGATAAGTGAAATTCCTCATTAAATTGTCGTTCTCTGCGACCCCCCCTCCACACCCCCCATGGATATCGGTCCCCAATGTAAACATTGATAAGAACGGGTGTCCTCCTGCAAATCTATTTTATAACGTGGTGTACATTCATAAACATGTATACGTATGCAGTGCACAGTACTTACACAATTCAGTATTGTACAATATTATATGCAAAGTAAACTGTACTGCATTACCAAATCAAAACGTATGTCACCAGACACGACTAAACTGTATCGTACAATAGTCATACGCACAACTCTTGCTGGTTGTTTGCGAGCGCAGGAGTTGAAGCGGCACTCACTGAATCGCTCCGGGACATTGTTGAATGAAAATAAAATCGGGTACCAACTCGAGTAGCAACAAGCTGCTAAATCAAAACGTCTGTCCTCCGACATGACCGACCCGTGGAGGACACGTGCTCTGCGCACCTGTTGGGCTTTAACCCACCCTGCCTGCCTGCCTGGCTGGCTGCCTTTTAGCACGACCACTTACAAAGGAAACAGGAAGCGTCTTTTGTGTTAGACTTGACAATGGCAAGCAAATCAAAGTTTGCATGAAATGGTGCAAGACTCATTTAGCAACGGGCAGTTTAATTGTTGTTTATATTTGAGAGGCATTTTTTTGAACAAGAGCGTATTCTGGCGCACTTGGAGTAGAGCACATTGGCAGTGGAGCTTCTTTATTGGCTGTGGGAGTAATGTGGTGATTATGCATTCAAGGATGAATGCACGAAAATCGATTATGTATTATCTGGGATTACAGCATTCAGATTTAATGCAAACGATATAATAAAGAAAAATATAATCAATACAATTGAGATGGGAAGAATGAGACAAACGTATTAAAACATTTTCTGATTACAGTTGTGTAGACAGCATCATGATATGAATAATAAATTTGCAAATCTCAATAGAGCAGTGCACCCCTTGGCGTCAGGCAATGGCCCACGAATGCGACTTTTTTTCTCCTGAAAAATCCTTCAATACCCCTTTTCATCCTTTTCATTGTTGGGGTCGCACTTTCCCATACACTCTCCTGTGAAGTGAACCCCGATTTTTTTAATTATCAGATCTGCAATTCTAAACAAGTGAAGTGCAAAACCTAGTTTAGTGTGATTTTTTTTACTTTGCAGATTTTCGTGACGAGGTTCTATCATCTCACTGCACTTGAGAACATGTTTTTTTTTTTAGCATGGATGGCTGCCCTAGATTCTTACCCAGGATCTCAGTAGTGCTGGTTCAGCACTGACCTCTTCGCCCTCCATTCCCCACTCTAAGTACTGTATTGATTCACAACCTGAATTATGACAAGCTGATGAGCAATGATTGGGTTCAGACGTGAAAAAATGATGCTCCTAATGCGAGCTGGCACCTTGTGACTAAGTGTAACTAGTGATACTTCCAAACAGAAAACTGCATCCTTAAAATATACGACCCAAATTATCCTCAATGCATCCAGCCTCATTATACTGTCCAGTAATTTGGCAGCTAAGCAAAGCTGAGCCTGGTTAATATAGAACTTGGGCAGAAGACTGGGACTACAGTTATTAGGTGTTGTAGGCTTGATACTAGGTGGCCAAGAGATGAGAGTACAGATATTAATTCTTGAATGTAGAGTGTGTGTGGAGCTTCGAGTGTTACCTCCTCATATGCGTGGGGCTCTCCAGATATTCCTCCCACAAGTAAAATACTTAATGGAAATGGTCAAATATAGCAATGCTTGGCCCTCTTGACAAAGTATTGAGACTCGGTGAGGTATTTCTGGGTAATATATAACAATATAAACTTTGCAAAAGCTACTTTTGTATGGCGTAGTGTGTATGTGATGGCTATGAATGTGTATGCAGTGAATTACAGTATATGCAAGAACTGTTCACAAGTCGAATCATTATTTCTGAGATGTACAGTCAACAATAATAAATACTGTACATTTTGCTTTAATACCGTCCAGTGCTTTTCATGCAGCTCTTTACAATTCGACTCAAGGATGAGCGTGTCGTACATAGAGGGACATTTTGTCTAAGCACAATACTTTGCACTTGGCTTCTAAAAGAGGTGGACAGGATTTATAGCAGTACTGTATTAGGCAAATGCAGAACAGTGGAATCTACTTTCCCGGGTTTCCCATGCAATTTAAGGCCAAAGTAGGTGCCACTTGAGAAAATGCTGAACTCTAGACACAAACTCTCAAAACCCACTCACCCAACCCATGCACTTCACCACTGCTCCCACTAGAAGACCCTCCTATCCGCCCCCCACTACCCAACACCACCCACCTCTTCAGCCCGTGGAGGAGATGGGCGTGGGTGGGGAGGCGTGGTCGTAAAGATGGTGAGGGTGGTGCTGATGGTGGAAACATGGATGACATTGAGGGTGAATCCAGTGTTTTGTCCCGCACTTTAGGTTGGCAAATGAAGGACACAGGAAAAGAAGTGGGGAAGTGGGATGATTTATGAAGGTGTTTAACGTGGTGATTAATGGACCTGACATATGTACACACCATTGGTGCAGTAGCAAGTGGACGGTAGCCGGGCTGAAGTCCATTTTCATTCAGCCTGATAGTCAAGGATCTAAAGTATCCTCCAGCCTCGCTTTCACGTTCCTCTATCGACGAATCTAGCACCGTGATGGGTGTCATGCATATAATGAGAAATTGTATGTACAGTACTGTATTTAATTTTTGGAATAACATTTATAATTTCAGAATGGACAGAAAAACTGCAAAAATACAGTTCTGAAATTATTTGGAGACAAGCTGAAATGCCTAAAAATGTAATACTGTAAGTTTATCCTTTAAGGTGTATAATTGAAGACATAATTTAATATAAGTGTAAACATATATATTGAAGTGCAAAATAAACACGCATTGTGTTAATTTCACTGTCACGAATGCGTGTATGTGCAGATTTTAATCCTTATAGCATCACAACTACACCCAATTATCACTTGAGTAATCCAGATAATATTTTTTTAAACCAACACCGCCTAATGCTATATTCATGTCTTCCAGTCAGCGAATGCATGTACGAGATGTTAATACGGTACAGGAATCTACTTTACATCTACAACATTATTTGCTCACCTGTTGCTGTTGTACAATGAACTACTAGAGAATGCACGAGTATGAAAAATTATACCACCCAAAGTCCACTCATTACACTGGAGAAGGCTTTGCATTTTAACGATACGGCAAATTACATGTTCATTGAATGAGGCAATGAAAGACACCCAGCTCCGAACCAATTAAATAATTCACTCAAATAAAAAAGGCAATTCAACATTTTAACTCAACACCGTTAAAACAAAGACAAAAAAATACAACCTCGTTCATTTCACTGTGTAATCTCACAGCCGAGTGATCGCCTCTCTCTGCCTTTCTCTCCACCAGGTGTCTGTGCGTCTCCTTACCCTCCAGCAGGGGTCGGCGTGGCGGTAGTAGCAGAAGTTGTCCGTGATCCACTTGTAGATGGTGGCCAAAGTCACCTTGCTCTTCTTGCTGGCCTGCATGGCCATGCAGATGAGCGTGGCGTACGAGTAAGGTGGCTTGGCCGCTCCGTTGGTCCTGTAATCGATCTCCGTCTGCTGCTGCTGCTGCTCCTGTGCCATCACTGCTGCGCTCACGGGTTTGCCCGGCGTGCGGGGCCCCGTGCTGCCCGCCGTGTCCCCCGCCGTCGGCGAGGCAGGTGGGCCGGCTCCCACCCCGAGCAGGTCACCCCATCCAGGGCCACCGGCAGCGGCCCACGAGCGGCCCTGCTGCTGGCCCGGTGGCCTCGGCAGGTCGGCGTTGGCGATGGAGAAGTTCTGCAGCCACTGCAGGCTGGTGAGGCTGTCATCCAGGGTGACGGCCCCGGCGTCGTTGTCACGGTCCTCCGGGTGCAGGAGGCGCCAATTGGCCTTCACCCGGTCGGCGATGGCTGGGCTGGACAGCACCGGCATGGCTCTGGGCTCAGCTGCTGCTGTTGGCGGAAATGGGGATGGCAACAAACATTGTGGGAAGTCACGCACAGATCCGTTGTCGATTTTGCACGGTACAAGAATAATAATACTACAATACGTGATGAGCAGTGGAGATTGGCATCACCACTTCACCATTGCTGGACAGTGCGGGTTGGTTGAGATATCACTCTGAAACGTCGTGATTTAATTTAGTTGTTTTCATTTATTTTATTGTTTTACCTACGTAACTTTACCGAAAAAACCAAAGAGTATGAATCCTTGCAGTCACGAAAGCTTCAAATCTAGAAATATCACTCGCCATTGATTGTTAGCCGTGGCCAGGAATATAACTCAGGTGGCCAGGTTCGTAACGCGTCTTCTTGTCACGTTGGGGTGAATTGTTACAATTGCAGCGTGGTGGCGCTGTAGTCGAGCGCTTGACTCGTTCGGAAGGAAGCTCATGAGGTCTCATGTCGAGTCCGAGGCTGTCTCAGCCCATCATCCCACTAGGGTCGATAACAAAAGTCACTAAACGTTGTGGGACATTAATCGTGGTTGTCATATGGGTAGATTCATTATTTATTGGTCCCTGCCGTATGCATGTAGAATTCTCATCTAAATTGAAAACTAATTTTTTTTAACTGCTTTTTGTGCTTCGTTTGTTTTCCTTCCCCCCCCCCCCGCACCTCCGATCAGCTCGGTTGGCGACGTACGGTGCGAAAGAAGTTCAACATATATTCACTGGCTCATGATCAACAATGGAAATAAATAAGGACCACGTTATTGCTTTGAGGCAGAAGACAATGAGTTTTAAATGTTACATCATGACACTACTTTAGCTTGGTGGTGGTTTTGATATGTCATCTCAAACGCGTTACAATCAGAGGCGAGAATGTGGATGGCATTCAATATCGCAGTTCAGCAACCTGTATTACTGCAGGACTCTGCGATGTTCCTGTGACCCACCCTGGGGAGTCCAGTTGTCCTTTTTGGACCAGCACCGGACGCCCATGATGATGATTAACATTGCAAATGCACAATTGTGCAAACGAGGTATAAAATAAACAAATAAATGTTCCGCACTAACAAAAACTTACACGCTTACATTGCAGTGCAAAGGGTAAAATTATTTAAAGGTACGATAGTATCAAACCCCTACTGGGATAGTCATCTCTGTGTTTAGTTACAATACAAATGATCGAAAAGTTGTGGCACAAGGCAAAATATTAGTATTTATACTGTGGAATTATTTCAATTACGATGCCTCTCATTGAAACGTATCTAAAAGGGGGTTTCCAGAGTACATGCAATGTATGCATACACACATCTTTCATTTACAACCAAGTGCCCGCTGAGATTACAAGCATATTGTGTAAAGGGAGATCACGGTTAGAAACAAGCATCAAAGCAAATAAGTGCAAAAGTAGCAGACAAAACAGTCGAAAGAGGAATGCTTGCAATCTGCATATATTTTAAGAGCCAATTTGGATTCAAAGTCTCTTTTCTATCCGAGCCCAGTTTCTAACTCTCCCCATTAAGGGAGCCCTGAAAGAGAAGTAGAACACAAAAGCGAATACAAAGCACAGCACACACCAAATGTAAATGTACGCAATGTGCATTTCACATAACTTCAGTTCCACATGCTGTCGACTGTACTCATGTTGGGCTGTTCTGACTCTCCGATTTGGCTTTAAGAATAAAACACGCGCAATGTTATGAATGGACTGGCACTGATGCACTCACCTGCACTAAAGTTTTGTTACACGTCTCAGCGTTTACACGTCTAGTCGTTTAATACCGATTGCTTACCTGCACAAATAGCACTGTGCCAAACCACACGCGTGTACATTTTATATATCCAGCATTACCACTTGGCTCTTCAAATTGCCCACAATGTGAAATGACAATAAACGTGAACGTACAGATGCCGTGCAGTGCGTCACGTACCACTTACTTACCTCGAATAAATTCTCAGAGGGCAGCAGAATCGAAGCATGAACAACGCAGTTTATAACACGGTATCCAACCGCTACTTGTATCCGAGAAAGATGTGCCGGCGGTGGTCTATATGGTGCCTGGCCAAAGGCAGCAGCAGCAGCAGGAGGAGGAGCAGTGAAGGGCTTGGCTCACTGCTTGCGTGAATTGCGGTGTGCGACGGATGGTGCGCTGGGATGGACACAAAACGCACAGGGTAGCCCTGCCCGGCTCTTTAAAACAAGCCTTGCAGCTCACGATTGGTTTCACCGGACTCTCCGTCACCCGTCCCTCGGATTCTAGAATTACTACCTCCCCTTTCCACCCACTTCATGCACTCTACCCCTCCTTCCTACCCCCTCCAGCCCTCTAACCCACCCCCGCAATGTGACATGCGTCAACCCCCCTTCACCCCAACACCCACTCCCGTGTTTAGCACTGAGAGCCCCACTGCCCATTCTCATTAAACCACTTGCTAGAATGTACTACAGGGTTCTGCACGGGACACTTTTATCAGCGTTGTGTGCATGGCAAATGCTGTTTGTTGAGTTGGATTGTAAAAAAAAAAGACGCATGTCTGTCTGCAATTTTTTAAATTATCTTTCAGATATAATTTTTTTAAAGATGTATTTCTACATACCCTACAATTACATTTGATTTGATTTTCAACGGTATCGTAACCTCAAGACTGCAAAATGGCAAATTTGTATATATTTTTTTAACGCCAGAAAGCCTCACCGATTATTTTCCAGGAGGGTTCTGCATTTAGGTTCTTGGTCATTCCTATTCCATTTTGGACGCAACCAGAGTACGTGGAGGAGATAACAACATGCATATGAGGGGATGAGACTCAACATTTCCACACAGATGGATTCAGCCATCGCTGTGCTGTCATCTCCTGGCGACTACACAGATGATGAGCATGCAACATCTTGGGAGGTAGGGATAGAGGGGGGTTTCGTTGGAGGTTATTTTCAGTGGTGAGCCTGGTGCATGAAGCCAAGGGCATGGGGGGGAAGAAGACGACATATTGGACACTTCACGACGAGGCATTTACTCACAGGCAATGCTCGATGACGTTCGTGTCAATCGTTGCCTTGCCCACTTGTTTTATGCGTCGTATCCGTTGCGTGAGAGTCGGGTGGGAGTACTGTGCTGACCCATCCGTGGGGACACTATAGGGGAGAATGTCCTCTCGTGCAGGTATTCCTTATGGGGCTCCTAGGTGCACGTTTCTAAATTGGTAAAACTCTGAGCATTCAAAAACCATTTGAACACACACATTACTGTACATGCATTCTAAGTGTGCGCGTGTGAGACTGTGAGTGGACATGGTACATGTTGTGAATAGTACATACGGTACAGATGCGAGTGTATATTGTGGCATGTGCACATTTTTTAAAGGGCCAGATTGTTATGATCATACTCTGAAATATATTTTGCAATTGGTGGTTTCTCGTCCTGCTAGAGCATTATTGTAATTTAACAAAACAACTCAAAAATTCCTAAATAATATTGCTTTAACAGAAATACATACAGTATTTAAAAAAATAATAATTAGCCATTGCCTGGAACGTCACCAATGTTTGTGTTGTCGTGCTTGTGCACGCACCACTGCCAACATCAGTCGAAATCGTCTAAGTATTCGATAATCTGTCGCCTTATCACCACATGCGTGTGGCATAAGTCAGTTTGTACACGTTGTATCGTGAATGATAGATATGTAATGTCATGAGCCTGATAACTTTATCAAGCTTTGCGCTTTATCAATGAGTTCCCTCCTCTGTTCCCGCAGCACCCAAAGCGGCGTGTTCGTACGATCTGTGTATTAAGCCCAGAACAACTGAACTTGTGACATTGATTGCTGCATGGACAAATTATCAATTGAAGTATAAAGATTAATTTTACGACCGGCTCTCGTAACATGGCTTAGCGATAGTGGGTTTGCCGCCTGTTGCAAGAGGTTCACGGTTTGAATCCGCCCGGGTTTACTGTTGCCGATGTATTAACGCACATCAACATCCGCAGATAAAGATTCATTTACGTGATTCGACACGACTCGGCCAATTCTAAAAATTACCCGCAACTTATGAAACCGGGAGCATACATAGCAAGCATCGCCTCCTACTGGCAGAGAAGAGTTCGTGCCGCATATGCCTGAGACAACATTTCGGTCCCCTAATTCGCGTCGCTCACCGCGTGGACGGCGTAAAGGAGGGGGGAGCTCTCTTCAAACGCAAAAAACATCAACATTAAATTTTGATTTAAAGCTTTCGTGACTGCAGGGATTCGTATTCTTGGTTCTTTCGGAAAAGTCACGTAGAAGGGAAATAATAAAATAATAGAAAGATAAAACAATAAAAAATGTTAATGTGTTTATATTTCTATTATTTTATTATTTCCCTAGAAAAAAGATAAAACACGTAAAAAATTATATTTATATTACTTTATTATTTCCCTTCTACTTGACTTTACCGAAAGAACCAAGAATAACATCAACATTGTTACAAGCCGCCACGCATATAAAGGATTTATAGTGAAAAACTTTGTTTTTACGGTGGTGCCTCCGACGGATCTACTTGCCCCCCACCCATCCACCCATCCATCCACCCACCCCCGCCGGAGGAATGTGGAGTTGCCATCCTTTGCGTCCAGCAACGGCAGGCGTCGTTGTTGATGTTGGGGGCTGACGTCCCTAACGGCCACACCACGAACCGCCGCCGCCCGTGCACAACGGCCACAGGTCAACCTCCTCCTCCTCCTCCTTGGTCTATCCACTGCTGGATGGAGGTCTCCCCATACCGTGTCGATTGTGGGGGGGGGGGGGGGGCAGAGGGTTGTTTGACCATGCTTCACCACGCTAGTCAGTACGTTCACTAGGGGAAGGCAGGCGGCGGGCGGGGGGGGGGGCAGAATGGGTGCAGATGGAACATCCGTGACCCCAATCGAACTCAGGTCGCCGCCGGGTTAACATCGCGATAACCACGATGTGCCGCGCGATAAACACTCCACTGTTCATGTTAAAGCATTAATTACTACCACGTTTACAGCACTTTGTCAATCCTACTGCTGGATGAAGGTGTGGGGGTGGGGGGTGTGTGTAGTGAGCATATTTTACCACACTAGTCAAGCCACTTTGGTGACGGTTCAGCCGGTTCCGCGAATCGAACTGGGGTCGGGGCAAGGTTCGCAGCGCGGCGACTCTCTGTGGGCGACTATTTCGCGGTGTCACCCTGCGACTCACGGCCACCACTGAGCACCTCGCTGGACGTTGGAGGGATCTTCTCCTCCCGACGATCTCACCTCGGGGAACGCTCTCGGCCACCCACGAGCAACGTCTTCCCTGGTGGGAGGGGGGGGGGGGGAGATGGCACCGTGCGAGTGACGGTTGTCGATGCGCCCGTTGTTGGCACGTGCACAGGGAGCGAGATGAGTGACACGTGCAGAGGAAGTGAGTGACACGTGCAGAGGAAGTTTGTGACACGTGCAGAGGAAGTGAGTGACACGTGCAGAGGGAGTGAGTGACACGTGCACAGTGAGTGACATGCAGAGGGAGTGAGTGACACGTGCAGAGTGAGTGACACGTGCACAGGGAGTGAGTGACACGTGCAGAGGGAGTGACACGTGCACAGGGAGTGAGTGACACGTGCACAGTGAGTGACACGTGCAGAGGGAGTGAGTGACACGTGCACAGTGAGTGACACATGCAGAGGGAGTGAGTGACACGTGCAGAGTGAGTGACACGTGCAGAGGGAGTGAGTGACACGTGCACAGTGAGTGACACGTGCAGAGGGAGTGACACGTGCACAGGGAGCGAGATGAGTGACACGTGCACAGGGAAGTGAGTGACACGTGCAGAGGGAGTGACACGTGCACAGGGAGTGAGTGACACGTGCACAGTGAGTGACACGTGCAGAGGGAGTGAGTGACACGTGCACAGTGAGTGACACGTGCAGAGGGAGTGAGTGACACGTGCAGAGTGAGTGACACGTGCAGAGGGAGTGAGTGACACGTGCACAGTGAGTGACACGTGCAGAGGGAGTGACACGTGCACAGGGAGTGAGTGACACGTGCACAGTGAGTGACACGTGCACAGTGAGTGACACGTGCACAGGGAGTGAGTGACACGTGCAGAGGGAGTGACACGTGCACAGGAAGTGAGTGACACGTGCAGAGGGAGTGAGTGACACATGCAGAGGGAGCGAGATGAGTGAGTGACACGTGCAGAGGGAGTGAGATGAGTGAGTGACACGTGCAGAGGGAGTGAGTGACACATGCAGAGGGAGCGAGATGAGTGAGTGACACGTGCAGAGGGAGCGAGATGAGTGAGTGACACGTGCAGAGGGAGCGAGATGAGTGAGTGACACGTGCAGAGGGAGTGAGATGAGTGAGTGACACGTGCAGAGGGAACGAGATGAGTGGGTGACTCGTGCAGAGGGAGCGAGAGGAGTGAGTGACACGTGCAGAGGGAGCGAGTTGAGTGAGTGACACGTGCAGAGGGAGCGAGATGAGTGAGTGACACGTGCAGAGGGAGCGAGATGAGTGAGTGGCTCGTGCAGAGGGAGCGAGATGAGTGAGTGACACGTGCAGAGGGAGTGAGTTGAGTGAGTGACACGTGTTGAGGGAGTGACACGTGTTGAGGGAGTGAGTGACACGTGCAGAGGGAGCGAATTGAGTGACACGTGCAGAGGGAGCGAGATGAGTGAGTGACACGTGCAGAGGGAGCGAGATGAGTGAGTGACACGTGCAGAGGGAGCGAGTTGAGTGAGTGACACGTGTTGAGGGAGTGAGATGAGTGAGTAACAAGTGTTGAGGGAGCGAGATGAGTGAGTGACACGTGCAGAGGGAGCGAGATGAGTGAGTGACACGTGCAGAGGGAGCGAGTTGAGTGAGTGACTCGTGCGCGTCAAGCAAGAGTCGATTATATTTTATTGGCCCGCGTGGTTGTAGTTATGGTCAATTAAACCCCGCGACCCCACGCGGCGGCTTGGGGAGGTCTTCGTCAAGCGGTGGATTGACGAAGAGGCTGCACGTGTACAACAACAAGAATAATGATCATCATCATACGACGTGCCAGACTCATCGACCAAGTGGAACGAGTGAACACGATCAGGTGACGCGCTCATAAGCCTTGCTTTTAAGTGGGATAATTGTCGGGTTTTTTTGCCTGAATATTCGTCAATTACAGCCTCGGCAACCATGGTCAATCCACTGCTGGATGAAGGCTTCCCCAAACCATCGTCATCTCTCACGAACCTGATACGTTTTTTTTTGGGGGGGGGGGGTAGCATGACTTCTCCAGATCCTTCGAGTTTCGGGGCTTGTAAACGCAGCTGATGAAGTCTTGGCCACGCCGTGCTGCCGCTCAGGTCGACACGACCGACCCCGAGCGGTTAGGACTGAGATCGAGGACGTGGTGAAGAAGCAACTCATCAACTCATCAACTCGCACCGAGAATTGCGTGGCACATGCTGGTCTCTGTAGAGGATGGTGAACGTACGAATCTTCATGTGTACAGCCAGTGGTTGTGGTACGCTGCGCTATAAACCCGGCGACCCGGGTTAGATTCTCGCTCACTGCCAACACCAGTGACGATTATCTGAACCGGTCCCGGGCCTCCCCTAGGTCGATTCAGCCTCAAAATTATTACCTGGTGCGGTGTGTAAACATCGCCACTGGGGAGACAAAGACGGCCGGGCATGGTGCTGGCCTTCATAGGTGCTTGCTAACAGAACTTGCGCCTACAGTCTGTTCAGGCTTTGGCGTGTCGTGGTGAATACGTTAAGGAGACTTCACACCACACGCGTGTCAGTGGCGGAGTGGCTTGAAGCTTGGTGGATACCGCCGCACTGCCCTCTAGCGCTTCACAGCGCCTCCTGCTGCAATCTGTGTCCAGATGGTGGCCGCCCATCCCAGCAATGTCCAGGCTAAGCCCTCTCTCTCTGCTTTAGCCTCCAAGATCGGGCGCATTGCGGGCAATTTGGTCACGGACCAAGTAAACACCCAAAAAAAAACATAATTTTGACCGTCTCGAAAAGTAAGTGGGCTTGGGCAGGACGATACGTGGTGGCCTTGGCTATGAGGGATGATGGTTGAGACTCATGACGGAATCGGCGTGTGTGGCATGCGCTTGATGACTTGTTGAATCGCAGGACCTGTGAGCGATGGGAACTGCTTGGAGACGCCAACATCCAGCAGTGGATTGCTGATGGCTGATGGTGATGCTGAGCGTACCGCCGGCTAAGTGCGTCTGTGTGAGTGTTTGTGCAATTTGCATGCGTGAGTTACGTGTTCCTTTCCATTGTGTTTGTGCGTACAACTGTGTGGCCTTTGTGTACCGCATGTGTGTGGCTGCACGTGTGTGTTCCTCTTCGTTTTGTCTGTGTGCGCGAGTTCCTTTCCTTTGTGTCTGCGACTCGGCGTGTGTGTGTACGTGTGTGTGTGCTTCATTTGTAATGTGCGTGTTCCTTTCCTTTGTGTCTACATAGCGTGTGAGCTTATTTAGAGGTTGGGGGGGGGGGCGTTACAGCCCCTCTGTCAATCCACTGCTGGATGAAGGTACCTCCAACGCCGTTGTGGGTAACGGGAGTTGTTTGACCATACTTGACCACTCTGGCCAGTGCAGATTGACGCGTGGGTGTGGGGGGCAGGACAGGTTCAGATATCGCTCACCACAGATGTTACATCCGTGGTCAAGAATTACACTCGGACCACCGACTTCAGTGCGCGCTGTACGAACCATGGTTCTGGTTTTCCCGATGATAAACTAAAACTAAACTATTTTTTTTATTTTACCAGGTAAGGCCCACTGAGCTATGAAGCTATTTTCTTAAGAAGCAACCTGACCACATATGATAGCTCAACAAAGTGGCTTATCGTGCGGAAATGTATCGCAGCCAAATACTCTAAACGCATATTCGAAATGTGGAGGAAAAACTGGACGACCTAGAAAAAAATCCATGCAAACTCCAAATATACAGGCATGAGGGTCAGGATCAAACTCACGACCTCTTGCATCCCAGGCGAGGGAGTTAATACATCGCCACCGCGGCACCCACATGATAATGATGGTGTTCTTATAGATGTAACGGGCCTACTGATGGTGTTGCCATAATGGTTGTTGTGCATATGTCAGGCTGACCTTTTCAATAATGACCACAGTGTTGCTCGAAATGTGATGGTCTTTTAATAACGTTGACAATGGCGTTATATGATATTGCTCATTGGGTACCTGTACTAACCGTGATATTCTTATAATTCTCACGGCGTTCCTATTACGTGAGAGTAATTACGTTCTGAAAAAAAACGATAACGTGGTTAGAATGCCCACGGTGTTGCTATAATCGTGTAATTGTAATACGGTATTCTTACACAAATATTGTAACAACACTGATTATTTTTGCTGTAACGGAGAGGCAGCATCATCTGCAGTGGAGAAAGTGCATCCACCAATTGGTGATGATGCTGCTGCTGCTGCTGGTGATGATGGCGTTGCCTCCCTCCCCGCTCACAAATTAATTCCCGCTTTGTTCACTGAGCGCGCCACTCTTGCCGCGCTTCTGCACACGGAACGACGCGAACCAAAGGTCACGGCGCCTGCAAACGTCGCCAAACATTGAAAAAAAGGGAAGGAGGAGGGGGGGGGGAACGCAAGGCACACCCGGGACCCTGAGCCCTGATGTAATAGCTAATAACTGCACTTTAAAGGGCTTCCCGATGCTGGCTGTAACCTAAGGAACTTGCGCTCGCGTGCTGCTTTGTGAGCCTGGTCTCTCCCAGTGCCACCTCCCGCTAACCCCCCGCACATGTTTTAGTTGGGCCCCTTTTATATTACATCACGTAGCACTCCCTTTCACGCGTTGATAGCCAGGTTTATGGCTTTAATGACCGGCGCGGTCAAACTCGTGCAACCGTGAGATAATCGACCCGTTAACGACACGCTGAAGTTGCTTTCAGAGAGATCTGTAAACAAAAATAACCTTTAAAAAAAGCAAGATGCTTTTTTTTTCTACTCACTGATCAGTAGTGGCAGGATTTGTTCCCACTTATTGACCATCGTATCTGAATAATAATAAGTCATTACTCATTAACTTTAAATCAAGAATTACTCTGTCACCTATTGTAGCAAAAAAGCCTGGCATGTGTACCTATAATTCCTCAATGGCAACTTCATTCATTGTGCACAGCTTTAATCGTTATAAGTAATCATTAACTGTCTTACTACATACTAATATAATTCCTTTATCCACAAAACAAATGAAATGTTCAACCAACTAAAGTATTTACACCTTTTAAAA